TAATTTTTCTTTCTTTTGAGGACAAAGAGTAACCTTACAACTCCCTCAAGAATTATACCCCAAATTCTTAAGACACTCTCTTCTCAAAGAGAAACTTATAAATTTTGCAAACTTGCAGAAAAAATCACAAGGTAAGATGTTTGCACAATTCTATAACAAAGAAAGAACACTAAAAAATGAATACAATTTAGCACAAATGGTGTTCTTGAAAGCAAAATGAATATTGAATGGATGTTGGCTTGAATTGCTAAAACTTGATGTTTAAGGCTTTCTCTCTTGTTTTTTTTTTCAATTCTTAATCACCAATGGCTTCAAAACTTGTTTAAATACACCTCATAACAATTCTAGACGTTGGGGGATGATCATGGAGTCAATAGAGTCGTTGTAGTGTGAAATCCACTTGAAAGTTTTATCGGGAGTGTATGGGTATCGATACTCCTTCATAGGGGTATCGATACTACCTATTATAAATTCAAATATTTCAACCGTTGCAATCCAACGGTATCGATACTGGCCATGGAGTATCGATACTACTTTTTAGTGTAGTATCGATACCGTCCAGGGAGTATCGATACTACTATATAAAGTAGTATCGATATCGATCATGGTATCGATACCCAAATTGCATTCTGTTAAAACCTCGGAGTCAAAACCAAAGGGGTAGTATCGGTACCATTGACCATGGTAACGATACTACTATGTATAATGGTATCGGTACCGTGTAGGGTATCGATACCCATTTTAACTTCGATGTTTGGGGGTATCGATACTGTTGAGGTAGTATCGGTACTACCTTGTTGAAATCTAAATTTTGACTCAATTATGGTTCGAAATACTTTGTAAAAATTGTTTTAAAAATATTTAAAGTATAAATCATAAATTTTCATTTAGTAAGGAGTAAAAATTGATATTTGAAGACTTGGAGTAATATTTATAATATTCGAATAATTAAATTGAATATAAATCATAAAATTCATTAACATATTTATTTGTTATATAGAAATATCAAAATGTTTTCAACATAAATAAAAAGGAAATTAAAATAAAATTGGAAATGAAATTAAAGGTATATTATTTAATATAGGCATCATATTATATAGAACATTTATTTACATATATATATTGAATATATACATTATAGCGCGTGGATCATAACAAATATATATGGTAATAATATTTACAAAATACATATGTAATATCTTACATTATATAACAAAAATAAATAAAATGTATAAAAATTAATATAAAACAAACTAAAATATGGTAAGAAATTAAAACATGTATGAAAATTTAATTATATAAAAGGTAATATGCACATGAGGTAGCATAAGGTATAATATTAATATAAGAAAGTAAAAAATATGAATGATATTTAAAAAGAGAAAATACTTTATTAGAAATAGAAAGATATATTCATAAAGCCATTAGTATGAATACAAGTAAACAAATAAATGTGAAGATGGCCAAGTTTAGTGTGGAGATAACAGGGTTAATATAAAAGCAAAATAAAATTAATAGACAGTAATAATAATATTAGAAATTAAAATAAGGAATAAAATACACAACAACAACAAAACAGTAAACAATTTGAATTAAATAAAATAATAAAAATGATTAAATTGTAACTAAAATAGAAATATTAGATCAAATTCAATACAATAGAAAAGCAAAGCATCAGTGATCAAATTGTGAAAACGCGGGTAACATAAAGGAACCTAAAGCTAATTTTCTATTTTCCTAAACCACCATAAATTAATGAAATATAAAAAAGACAAATAGCACAAATAGGACATGTGTTCGAACAAAATAATAAAAATAGACGAGTATGTGACTAACTTGTAAATTCGTACTAAAGTTGGAGTGACTTATATGCTATTTACCCACGGGATCCAGAGCCTCAAAACGACGTCGTTTTCATAGGGATATAAATCTTGAAATTAAACAAAAAAAAAGTTATTTCCCATTTGTATTAAAAAAAATCTCTCTTCTCCTTCCTCCTCTCTTCACCGGAGTTCACGTTTTCTAGAAACCGGCGACTCTCCACTGCAATGGCTGCCACTGATTGGCACCGATCATCGCTCGCCAAGGACAAAAGAGGGAGATGCTACTACCTTCCTAAGCCTTTTCACACCCTGAGTACAGATCCGGGCTCAAATTGGCCTAAACCCCTTTTTATCGTCGTAGATCTACAAGGAAATCCTCGGTTTTCATGACTCTAACGGCCCCTTTTCTTTTCTTTATTTTTTGGTTTTGTTTCAAATGGGTTCTCAGTTTGTGGGTTTTCGAGTGTTCGAGAAAAGGTTTTTCTTTCTCACCTCTACTTTTGTTTGTTAAGAATAGAGAAAACGATTCATTGCTTGTATTTTCTGTTTCGTAAATGATAGAAAAGAAATCACGTTTCCATTTCTTTCGAAAAAATGGGTGAAGAACCTTGTAATGCTTCGATCTTTTCGAAATTGAGGGGAAGATCAACCCCGGTTTCATTTTCTTGTGGGGTTTTTATAAACCTATTTCATTACAGAAAACGAATATTCAAAGAATCTACAGCTCATCCCTTCTGAACCATTCTTTTTTCTGTTAAATATACCAAACTGAATAACCAAAATTATTCTCTTGGCATGCATTGCAGGAATCAAGAGTTTGATGTGGAGCATCTTGGAAGTTGCTAGAATATAACACAACTGGGGCGTGAAAGGCTTGGGCAATAGTTAACGACGGCAGAGAGCTTCTTCGTTGGCTAGGGTTTGACATTTCTCATATGGGTTTAGCATGTGGGCTAATTGGGTTTCAAGTTTAGATCATATGGGTTAACAGAAATGTAAAATGGGTTTTTGGTAAAATCGGGTTGTTTTGGAATTGTTTTGGGTTTGTAAGTGTAATCAGATTAAGCCTTTTAAAGTAAATGGTTTGGGATATGGTAGATTGGTCACAATAGAATATTAAAATTATATGAATTATAAATGGGATACCAGATTATAGGTTTAACGTTTGGGTCGTGGGTTTGCAACGGGTCCGAGTTTAATAAAATTGGGCAATTTGGTTGTGTAAATAGATTTAATGGACATTTGAATTTTTTTGGACTTCATTTTTTTCACAATGCTACATGAGTGAAACCATCTAAATTTCCACTTATAATTTTGGCCACCCACAACTACCATTTGTAATTCCTTTAAGCAAGCCTTTCAAGTGATTTAGAGCTTTCTCAACCCACATGTCACAAACCACTCTTCGTATTTGCAATTAGAATCTTCAAATGGGTCTTCGATTGCCTTCAATTTGATTTGAATTAAGTTACCCGGATAAAATTAGGTTATGACAGCATTGTTGTAAGTTTTTTGGATGGAGCCATTGAGAGAGGAAAACTTGCTAAGTTAATGTTAGATGCATCGATCTTATTTTTGTGAGAACGTTAATTGCATGATTGAGTTTAACTTTCCCATAATCTTTACTTGAGCCTATCCACTATTTTTCATTGCCACTGTTGTGATTCCTTCATCCTTTCATATTTTTATTCTTGTATTTATTGTACTTTAATATTTTTTTCTTTGTTCACAACACCTTCTACACAATTATATTATTTTATTTAATTTTATGACAATTCTTTGAGTAATACTAGTCTCTATGAATACGATACTCAGTGCATTAATTTGCATCCACTTTATTACTTGATACGATAATATATGCTTGCACTGAACACTATTACATTTATTTAAAGAATCACAATCTACCTGCAACCTTGACAATACACCATTTAGTGAGTGCAACGGTCTCAAATTCTCAAAGTATTATATTCTTCGAAAGCACTTACTCCGTGAACTTAATATAATTCATGTTTTGGTTTAATGCATCAATCAACAGAATATTGATTGTCAATTTCTTTAGCGCATTAATAAATTTCTTGAATTGTTGATCCTCCTTGGTTTTCTTGAATTGTTGAGGAAATAGAAGTGGAGGCCTTGAATTATATTGCACTGGCAGTGTTGTTGGCATTGTTGGTGGCAATGTCTCAGAATTACTCTTTACCTTACATCCTTTGTTATGACATTTATTGCTGGTGTCTCGATTTCCACTTCCAACTTCTTGCCTTTAGATTACTATCCATGTCTCTTATCATCCTCTTTTTTGTTTTCATTAATTAATTTTCCAAGGTGGAGTCCACTACGTGTTGTGATGGCTTTGCAATGCTTATTGCAATAAGCTTTCCATTGAATTTTCTGAACTTCAATATCACTTGGCAATGCACCTTGTGGTATGTTTCTCAATGCATTGGCCAACTGTCCTATTTGATTCTCCAATGCTCTCAACGATGCTAACTGAATTTGAATCACATACCTCTAGGCTTTTTAAATTACATGACTGCCCTTGATAGCTTTTCTGGTTGTGATATTGTTGTGGCTGCACCACCTGATGATGTGACTGTTAATGTTATAACATTGGTTGCTACTGAGTATACTATTGTTATAGATAATGTTGTCGTGTTTTCCCAAAATTTGATTGTAATGTCGTATTAGGGTTGGCTATAATATGACTTCTCCAAGATAAGTTGGGATGATTTTGAAGTTAGCATTGTAGGTGTTCCTATATGCATTAGCATTATCATTCCTGTTGTAATTCCTTACAAAATAGATATACTCGGGGTTTTGTGGACATTCTTCAAAATTATGGTTATCACCATAATAAACACAATTAAAAAAAGATGTAGCTTTTACCTCATACATACCTCTAGGCTTTTGCATTTTTTTTTCATCATTTCAGCCAATGCTATTACCCGTGTAGTCAGTGAGTTTAGAGCATCATTGTGCACTATCGCAACAACGCATCTTCCCGACATGATCCTTGTGTTTGGATATTGATAGTCATTGTTGGAGATCCTCTAATGGATATCGTATGCTTCATTGTAAGATTTATCCAACAATACTCCATTAGTTGATGCCTTCATAACCATTCTCGTTTGTATATTAAGACCATTGTAGAACATCTTCATTTGTGTCTAGTGTTAGAAACCATGCATCACGCATTTGCACAACAAATCCTTAAAATGCTCTCAGGCTTCATAAAGGTTTTCATCTTCTATTTGCTTGAAAAAAAGTGATATCATTTCTCAGCCTTGCATTTATTTTGGAAGGGTTGAATCGTAGCAAAATGTTTTAGGCAAGATCATTCCATGATGTTATAGTAACAAGTTAGATCAAAATCGCTAAGATAATGCCCAATCAATTGTCGGCCACAATTCTCACGGCTTCAACACGCTTCTCGTCTAAGTGTTGTTTTCCCTAAGGAGTTTAGGCTTCCCTGGTTAGCGGTAAGAGAGAAAAATAAAAGTGTATATGAAAATTAGGGTTTCTAATGGTAAATAAAGTGTGTAAAAATATTATATTTATAGCATCCCAAAGTCAAACTTCCCACCTCCTTGAGCGTATCAAGCTTAAAAAGAATATTTTGTTTTAGCTTTAACATCTCTTTCCTTTCTCCTAGCTCTCAATCACAATCATGAACAATTTTTTTCCTCATTAAGGTTGATATGATTTTAGTTTTAAAGAGATGTATTGTTAAGATTTTGAGTCACAATTACAAACCATAAGGAATAGGTGGGTCTCGCAGTGATGAACTCAACTCGGATTTCTTAAATGCAACTCAGAAACCTGCAAGTTGACAATCAACATTTAATTCTTTGAACTTTTTTCTTTAATGGGGCAAATCCTTTTGGACAAAAAGATACTCAGTTATACTTCCATTTTTCTTTTTGGGAATTCGAAGATCCCAAAAACAAAAGTGAAGTTCTTTTTTTTTTGTCAAAAATAGAAAAGGAAAATATGCTTGATTGAACAACTGACATAATGTCTCCTAATTTTTCATCTTTGATAGAGAGAATTACAATATCAAAGATGATTCGAAAGAAAAATTATTATGTACGTATATGCTCAAGGTGATGGTGTCCTCCCTGTAAACTACTTGTAGTCTTTATTTCTATTATTTCCTCCTACTTGATTTGATCCCCTGTCCTTGTTGTTCAGTTTTTCTTTGTATATATGTTGTAATCACCATTTTTTAATTACTATAACCCTGGAAGATTATTGTTACATCTACACCCATAGGAATCTAAATATTCTTGTTAAGATCCTCTCCTATATTGCATTGTATGCACGAGTTGATTGCTAACTATCTAAATTTGAAACAGAAATTAGTGTTATTCAAACAAGGCTTATATTATAAATAGGTACCTACAATATATTCTTTTTTTCATCTAAGTTTCTAAAATATTTTTTTGGATCAAAATAAGTACGTAAACTTTTTTTTTATCAAAATAGGTACCTAAAGTATTTTTAATCAAAATAAGTACCTACAGTATTCAATTTTTTCATATAAGTTATAAAAAAGTTAACATGTGACATTAATTAAAGAATATTTTAGGTACTTAGATGAAAAAAATTGAATACTTTGGGTACCTATTTTTTGACCAAAAAATATTTTAAGTACCTATTTTGACCAAAAAATATTTTAAGTACATATTTTAACCAAAAAGATAAATTTAGATATTTATTTTCATAAAAAATTACTTTAAGCACTTAAATAAAAAATGTGATATACCTTATATACTTATTTGTGATATAAACCGTTTTTTGTTTTAGTAATATTATATCTAAAGATGTTTTGTTTTCTATATTTTATAAAATTAAAATTTAATTTATTAATAGGATTAATTCAAATAATAAATAGTTCGATATCATTTAAATATATTTTAATTTGAGATCTTATATATGCAAAAAAAATTGTAAATCAATACGAATTAATTAGGAGAAAATGTTTGAGAATTGAGAGGATAACAAATTTTTATTTTCATTTGTTACAACCAATTAGATTTGTGTTGTGACATTTGTAATTTCCTGAAAAATATTTGTGAATTTGGGCACTCGTGGTGGTCTAAAATACCACGTTGTTTAGATTTCATCCCCTCATCCACGTTCCTAATTTCATTACATATTACCCTCTTTGCGTTATCTCTTCCACTCCCAGCATAACCTAAACCTACAGTACACTCTGCAACAAACGCGCTTCATTTCTAACCAAAACTTTTTTCCAGACAAACAAACGCTACTCTCTTATAACAAGTCATTTCCTACTTAGAAAACCCTAAGCCATCATTCCGTCTTCTCACAGTACTTGTTTTAAAAAAGAAAATCAAATCTCGCTTTTAGCATCTCGATCTCCGCCTTTTTTACTACTTTTAAGAAGAAAAAATCGTATATTTGTCGAATCGACTTTTTTTTTTAATTTGAGGCGAATAGGGAGAGATGGTGAGAGGAGGAAGCAGGAGAGACGAAGTATCTATGGTGATCAACAACACCAACGTGTTTGCGGCTCTCGAAACTCTAAGGAAGAAGAAAAAGTCTGACAAGGACCGAGGTTCCTCTAAAAAATCTTCTTCCAAGTCTCAGCAATCGAAAAAAGAACCCGAGCAGCAGGTCTTTTGGGCTCCGGCGCCGCTCACTGCCAAATCGTGGGCCGATGTCGATGATGAGGACGATGATGATTATTATGCTACAACCGCTCCTCCTCAGTCCGTTTGGGGACCCTCCGAGTCGTCTCAGGCTCATGAAGATAAGACAGTCAACGTTGAGGTGAATTAAATTATTGGTTAAACGATCAATTCTCTTTGTTTTCTTTTCTATTTGAATCCTATAGAATCAGTTGGCGTAAATTTTTAAAGTTGAAGTTGGATATTATCTTGTCTTTATTTGAGTGATTGTGGATGATTATGTTATGGGAAATTGTGGAACGGAAGCAGTGTAAATGATGATTGGACATGAACTTTTTTTCACCCAATAATTTGACCAATGGTTTTATAGCTAAACCTGATGGCATAATTTTCTATTGATTTGGCCCGAGGTCCAGATGTTTGGGCTCTTATATTATACCTCGGATTGAATTATTGTATTCTTCAACTTTGTTGCTATTTTGGTTTTTATATTGTTAATTATTTTTAGTAATAGCTGTTCATATGAGAATGCTTCTATTATCCCTTCAGTGTTGCTAGAAGTTTTTCATAGAAATTCACAAGATGATGAATCGTGCTGAATGGTATTTATGGGAACTCCAAACTTTTCCAGGAGACTGGTAGAGTTGGTCTATGCCATTAAATATTTTCCAAAGTAAAATTATTAGTACAAAAAATATATGGATCTGTTCACTTGAAGTGAAATAAAATTATGCAAGTTCATGATGAAGACTGGACATTTTGTTTATCCTTAGAATGCTTTTTTTTCTGGAGGATGCTAAATATTCTGATTTATGTACGAAGAAAGGAATCATGTTAGCATTACCCATTAAGGAACCTTACTCTGGAAAAGAAATAAAGGAACTTACATTTGATAAATGGAACTAATGCCTGATGGAACTGAGGTGAAAAATGAATTTATTGGTATCTCTTCATAGAAGAGTTGTTTTTCTTCCTTTTATTTTTATGTTCTATTATCATATTATAGAAATTGTGGGTGGTGTATCCTAGCTTCATTTGTTCGTCTTTATATTTTATTATAATTCAATAGAGTTCATTACTATTTACTAGTAGAATGGTGCTTACAGCACTTGAGGATCACTTGGTTGTAAGCTTCCACAAATCTAGACATTTATGTTATGTTATTGACTTTCTCTCAAGGAAACACCACTCCTGCCATATCGTTTGATGTGGATATTGCTATATCTTTCTTTTTCTTTTTCGACAGATTATATAGGAACAATGGTATATTTTGCCATTACTGTAGTTTGATTTTGGAACTTTAAAGATTTCCTCCATTTCTTCTTACATCAATAGCTTAAATCTTTAAGGTGCCAGATTTTATATTATTCCTCTCTTGCTGTAAGTGGAACTTTATCAAATGCTTCTTGCAATTTAAGGTTGAAGAAGCAAGGGATGAAAAAAGTGGCATAGTTGTGTGAATAAGAGAATGCCATATAAGATATAACATTGTGACTACTGTTATTAGCAGAGATCCAGATTGTTTTTCTTGTGGGCCCTCCCAAGTCTCAGGTCCATTTATGCTTTTGTTATTCTGCCAATAGGATGAATCCTTTGAGCATAAATTGTTTGTCCTGTTAATTTGGATGGCTATAGTTGATACGGGATGAATGATGGAAATTAGTCTGCGTTTTGACAAGGTATCTCTTATTAGTCATTAACTTTTTATTTGATCTGGGATGACAGGATAGTGAGAGCGAAGAAGATATTTTAGATGAAGGTGATGAAGATATAGAGGAAGATCATGACCATGAACCAGAGGTTCAGGTACATCCAGAGCCTTTACCAAAAACGGCTCCTGAAGTTCCTGCACCACCTAAGGAGCCGGAAAGACAACTTTCAAAGAAAGAGAGGAAGAAAAAGGAACTTGCTGAGCTGGAGGCTCTTCTTGCTGATTTTGGAGTTACACAGGAGAGCAATGGCCAGGACGAGTCACGTGGTAATTTAACCAACTTAGCGCTTCAATTACTTCCTTTAGTACTCTCTAATTATTTGCTTCAAACATTGTTCCCCTAGTTTTGGTGGAAAGTAGGTGTTTTTGTTTTTTATTACTTCTGTCGTGCCTCAAAAGCAGTAGAATCATATCTTAGATGGTTTTGTTTGACAAACAATATTTGACTATTCAAGTATTGTCTTTTGGGATGTAGTACACGACGACCTTAAAGTTGTTTGTGTCCAAGCTTGAAAATCTGAAAATCTATCTCTCGAGTGAATGTATTCAACCTTTTTTATATCTACATGTTATCCTTTTTAAGGTTGTGTTATTTGCTTAGTTGTAAAAAAGTACTGTACCTGATGAAGATGGCTTTTCTAGTCCAGAACAATTCCGATGCTCAAATATGTGTACATTGGAAGTCTCTTTTGAGCTAGATCGTTATCTCTTATGTCTGCAGTTGTTGCACAAGAAAAGAAAGATGGAGAGGGAGAAGAGAAGGACAATCCTCCAGGAGAGTCTAAAAGTGCCAAGAAGAAGAAAAAGAAGGATAAATCGAAGGAGGGTAAAGAATCACAGGATCAACCAACTAGTACAGATGCCACCAACGGGCCAGATGAAGCTGCTGGAAATAAACAGGTTGAGGAGGATGCATCAGC